ATTAGTGTATATCTCAAACAAAAAAAGATTTGTATATATCTCATATAAAATCGTTCATTCTCAAAATCTGCTACAATGAAAAATATATTTAAATATTAATATAAATATATTTAGATATTAATATAAATCAATTTTGTAATTGTTGGTTTTAATAAATATGATAAAATAAAAAAGAATCCTCACAAATGAGAATTCCAAAATTGACGCCATGTAAATTTAAATATTACTATAAAATTGTTTTTTTTTTGTGTGTGTATGTAACATATATGCTAATCCAAATCAACGATTCTAATAAATCTGTTAAAATAAAAAAGAATCCTTGATAAATAAGAGTTCCAAAATCGGCTACATATAATTATTTACATAATCTTTGCCTACAAAACCACTATCAATATAATTAAAGAAAACTAAGAATTTACTAAAACAAATACAAACCGAAAATCGAGTTATATGAAAATTATTCAATTAATGATTTATTTGTTATTTATATCATTTTATATTATTTCCATCTATAGTAGGTAATTAATGTTTTGAGCAGAAAATGCTCATAAAATGTCCGAGTATGAAAAAATCAGATGTTATTAAAAACCTAATTGTAAACAACATTATTAGTTTGATTATTGAGCACATTACAATAAAATGATAAAATTCTAATGGAAATCTATTCCAAAAGAAATTATTCCAATAATAATTCCAACGAATATTTCAATACTACTATTTTCGTTGGAAATTTTCAATGGATTCCAACGAAAATTCCAACAAAAATACTCCGTTGGAAAGAATTTTCCATTGGAATTTTGTTGGATTTTGACGATTCCAACGGTGAATTTTTCAACGGGGTGGAAATAAAAATTCAAACGCAATTTGCATATTCCAACGGAAATTCCTAGGTAAAAAAACCATTGGAAATATAGCAGTTGAAATCATCAAATTTCTAAGATTGACACTCACTCTTGTTTATCTTCATGACAATATAAATGAATGTTTATCTAAAAAACTTAATTTTTAAAATGTAGTGATCGTGTGTTATTTTTTAATTTCATGATTGATGGACTCTTTTATTAATTAGTTGGTTTGAATCAATATATAACAAATTTTGTTGCCAATTGTATTCGAATTTTTAAATTAATTTGTGAAAATGCATAAATAAAAAGAGACCTAAACTATGAAAAAATTTTCATCTTTTGAAATCAAATAAATGACAAACACTATCTTTTAAAATAAATAATGATAATGATTATAACATTGTATTATCAAAATCAATAAGGTATATAAAATTCGTTTACTTTTCAAATCGATAATGAAGAAAAAAGTCTAATTGGTGAAAAGATGATATATACAAATCATGATTTTGGAAATCTGATATATACAAATCTTAGCATACGTTTTCAA